GTCAACCCTTGCATTTAGAAACTTAGATCCTTACAATTATGCTGAAAATGTACTTAGTAAGAACAAAAGGATTCATCTCTCACGAGTTGGAGTTATCTTTTTCTTCATTGAGTCTTCTGATACATAGATTGGGGCAAAGCTTATGTAGCTTGATTATGAGGTATTTGCATTCCTGCCCACGTAAGTCTTTTGAATTATTTTTCGTATGAATACGATCTTGCCATGCCACTTTTCATGCTTTTTATGCGGAAAAGGGAGTTTATTTTGCATCGTTCTTTGGTACTTAGGAAGCCTTGATCGAGCAAGAGCAGTTTTTAACTCCTTTTCATCGATCGTTCGAAGGGTCAATGAAGTCAAGGGGTGTCGGAAGCTTTATCCATGCCCATGAAAACACATCCTCAAGTTGGCAATCCTATCACAAGGGTGGAAATTTTACTTGTACTAGAGAGGAACTAGCATCATCCAGTAGTCCTACCCCACTAAGACTCAACTAGTATCGCTTCCAAAACCCGATTTTTTTCATGGATATGATGCCTCACACTTGGCTTTTCACCCTTCACTTTATTTGCAGCGGTATGGTCTATTGATGTAGTCTTAACGTGGTAGGATATTGAATGAACGTAGCTGAAGGCGCTCAAATCTAGTCTAGGTCATTAAGTCCTAAGTAATAGGCTAGATGAAAAGAGTTGGAGAGACCAGCCATGCATAATTATTCATAGATGAAGCATATAATCACTAAGCAAACAATTTCCATACACAAACCCTAACAAAATTCCATCTACATTCAAAAATCTAATTCTAGGGTTTGGGGATTAGACCACTAGTACCTTAGAGACAACCCCATAAAGGGGAGAAGAAGATACATACGAGGAATTAAAAGAAGACTTGAGTTGAAATTAATAGGAGATCCAGCAAGTTGTAAACTGGCGGCCTCTCCTACAAAGATCACAGTCGTGATCTTCCCTTGTACAGCCGTGAACTTGCCCGACAACCTATACTCTATAAATAGGAGATCCCTTCCCCTTCACAAGGGAGCTGAAATCACTTGGAAAATTCTGGTTTAAGAAAGAAGCTAGAGAGAGAAGCTAAATGAAGGAGAAGGAGGAGCCAAGAAGCAAGGGAGTTGGTTGTGAGCACCTCAATGGTAGGGGTGGGCAACCGGTTCGGTAAACCCGAACCAAACCGAACCGAAACCGAACTAATGTTATTCGGTTCGGAATTCGGAAGGAAAATATGGATATTTCGGAAATCAGGGTTCTTTCAACCGAACCGAATTTCCGACCGAAAAACCGAAATACTGTAATTTCAAGCTCAAATGGTGGATTTTTATGTTTGTATTTGTTTTTAGACATAAATATTTGAAATGTTTTATTACTTATGTGTTGAAAAGTTTGATTTTATCATTGATGATGCATATAATTACATATTTATTGTTTATATTAAGGGTGAAAAATAATTTAAAAGTGAGAAGATACAAGTAGCCTCTCAATTTCGGTTTTGTGTATAAAACCGAACCGAACCGAATTATAATTCGGTTTAAACCGACCGAACCGAATTTTAATTCGGTTCAAATTCGGTTTGGGGTTTGGGAGAATTCGGGGACAAGGTATTCATAATTTCGGTTCGGTCGAAACCAAACCGACCGAATACCCACCCCTACTCAATGGCATAGGTAGGTTGTACAGTATGCCGCTCTAGGTAGTGTAATTGAGCGGGTTTGGATAACTCGAATAGGGAGTCCAACCTAGTCTAGAATTCTCCGCGATAGAAGTATCGAGTAAACTAATCTAGGGTGGTACTCAACATTGACCAAATTAAGGGATTATGGGGATTTATGCCTAAGTGAGCTCCCATCTTGGAGTTCGTTAGGGGAGTGGTTAGAGTAGCCTAGTTATCTTAGTCTCCCAATCACTATTCTTATTTGGCTAGATAACGAACCTAGTTGAAGTAATGATACATCTGGAGACCCGTGAATTCGATAATTGTATACTTACCTACCTTATGCTACACCCAGGGGCGGAGCCAGGATTTGACATTCGGGGGGCCGGATTTTTTTTCTATTACTTCGAAAAACGGATAAAATTAACAAAAACATTTTGTTGCTATTATTATAACTGACATTTTTAGATGATTAGAGTTAATCAAAATATTTACAACTTATTTCCTATAGACAAACTCACAAAAGTGAATATATCATACCCATAAGTTTTATTTATGAATCCATTAGTTTATATGATTCTAAAATTATTATTGATTTACCAATTGTAATTGTAAGTGCAGAAAATGCAATTTCATCTTTGAGTCAGGAACAAAGACATAATGTAATGTTCCGAAGGGGTTTATTTGTTACTGCGAAAAGACAATAAAATTAAGCTAAAAAGAAAAAAAATTATATTTTGTAATATTTTCATAACATCAATTTTAATTCATATAAAATTTTTATTTAAGAAATTTGTATCAATTATTGAGACTAAAAATTAAAAAGTAAATATGTGCAATTAATGGGTTTCGAACTCCTAACCTGATGAATGTAAAAGCAAGTTCCCAGCCGCTGGACTATCTCACCTTCGTGTTCCTTTACTACGACCTGAACAATTTTATACAAAGTTCATAAGTTTATACGGAATTTCCAAATACCGGTATAATTTGTACGTAACTTCTAAAATTCTGGGGGGGGGGGGGGGGGCGAACCTATGTGTAGCTCCGCCCCTGGCTACACCCAGTCATCAGTTATGCTTGGCCTTCGATTCAGAAGTGGTAGTTAGTGCGAATCAAGTATCAAGCTTAGTATATATAAGTTTCCTCATCAGACCACATAAATCTCCTTTAACTTCTGAGTTCTTTTTCCCCAACAACCCCTTTTAGAAGTTCACAGCCTCTTACCAAGGTTGTCAATCCTTGGGTCGACCCGCCGGTTAACATATTTTGACCATGACCAGGTGAGAAAATGGGTCGCACACACCCGTCGGGTGGACCTGCTACAAGGTTACCGGGTTGGAGATCACACAGTGTCGCTTTTTTATTTGGTTTGCGAAATGCGCCTATTTCGGTTTTCATTTTCGCCTAACCCTATCTTTGGAATTCTAAGTTGAACATTTGAATATTGATGTTGTTTAAGTGTGTGCGAATTTTCACTATATGTTGAATTCATGTATGCCATATTATTTTGGTGTGATGTTATATTTTATTACACATATATTAGATGAGATTTGAAATAATTTATAAATGTATGAACAATATAATGACTTTTTCATATATCCGATCTAAACCGGATTAAAGCTCGGATTATTAACACTCAACCCTCTTCTTCGATCGAACCAACGCGGACTATCTTGAGTCTTGACTCATCTGGACAGTATTTTATCCTTCATTAGTTATTGGCAAAATCCACTTTCATAGCCATAACTTTACACTTTGTGACAAATATAGCCAAGTTTTGAGAAATACACAGAAATAGCCACATTTTGAAAATACATTTGATAAATTTAGCCATTTTCGTTAAAAATATTAACGGTGTTAGAGATTCCGTTAACATCGTCAACAATAAGCTGAGGTGGACGCCACCTAAGCACCCACATCAACTCTCAGTCGCCATGTCATGCCACGTGTACGCCACATAGGATTAAAAAAATGATTGATTTAAAATTATTTATATAAAATAATTAATAATTCTTTTATTAATTATGAAACAAAAAAATCCAATTATAGGCGTCGTTGCTTGTGATTGTAGAATCAGTGCCGTCGCTTAGGGTTATTCATTTTCTCGATGTGGATTTTTCAAGGAGGAACTCACAATGGAGATAGCATATCTGGTGCTTGCTGAACTCTCTCAGCGCTCTAGGAGGAGGCCCGGAGCTTTAGGGTTTTGCAAGTAGGCTTGTGGGAGACGTCGATTGCGGCCTGCGGCGGCATCCCTCTGCTTCTGAGTGAGCCCCAATGACAACCAGGGAGTCAATTTTTGATTCCTGAGTTCGTTCTGTCAAAACAAAATAATATTTCCTGGGTTCGAGAGAGATATGAAAACACCACCAACACAATAGACCCATTCTTTTCATCTTCATCTTTCCTCCTGCAAGCTTCTATCTTTCCCCTGTAGCCGCCAATGAAGCTCAAACGGGGTCGTTGTCCGCAACTCCAACGACGGCTGAAGATCAAATCCCGCCGATGATGGGGAAGAAGCAGCAGCGGCAAAGAAGGGGCTGCTGGAAAAGGACGATTAACTGTGATTCTTCTTCAACATCGCCGATTCATTAGGGTTTTTGCTCGACCACCGCCGCAACTGCCAAACCCCAGTCCAGAGATGGAGGGAAGATGGGAAAGACGAAGAGGAAGATGACGACGAGGTGCAGTGCAGATCTGGATTTAGGGAGTCGGATTAAGAAGTCGAAGTGCCAAAAGGAAAATTACGATGGCGGATCTAGAGGATCTCGAGAATGGTGGAACTTGATGAGCTCGAATTTGGCGATGGTTCAAGATGAAGCTCTATGGTGCTGGTGGTGATTGTTTCTCTGATTGCGGTTACTACTTACTACCGCCGATTGCTTGTGCGGCGGGTTGATGGGAGTGGAAGGGTAGACACAAAGAGGTAAAGGAGAAGAAGAGAGAACTTGGATGCGGGAGAAGGAGATCAGGGAATATGGATCCGGAAAAAAAATATGGTAAATAGGTGAGATTTTTTTTGTTGTTAATGTTTTTTTATTTAATAAATATATTTAAATTTAAATTCCACCTGGCATGCCACGTAGACCAAGGCAGGCGCGGTCACAAACGATCGTTTGTCTAGTCAGCCATGGTTAGAGTTCCGTTAAATTAATTGACGGAATGGCTATTTCTGTGTATTTCTCAGAATCTGGCTATATTTGTCACAAAGTGAAAAGTTATGGCTATGGAAGTGAATTTTGCCTTAGTTATTTAAGTGATTGTTAATTAGTGTACATTGTTAACCTTGGCGGTATGTGGTAGATATACCTCAACACTTGAACGCAAATCCTAACGAGGAGGCCAGATCCTACGTTCCGCTCTATTACGACGGCTATCACTGTTGCTGCCAGCAGCTGGGTTTAGGGATGACAACAAAACTCGAACTCATTGGTACCCACCCGACCCAACCCGGTCAATGCGGGTAAAATCCGTCTTGACGGGTTTTGGGTCGGGTTTGGGTTTAAACTCGTTCACTATTCACCGGGTTGGGTTGGGTTTGGGTTTAGGTAAACCCGGCCCGTGGGTACCCGCTCATCCATATAATTAATTTTTTCGGTATATTTAATATTCTAAACAACTAATCTTATTTATATTTGTGGAGACATGTCTAATTTTTTCTTTTTAATTGTGTAGAATGAAGTTGATGTTATGGAGTGGAGAGTAAAGAAACTTAATTGAAAGAAAGAAGCTTTCAATTAAACATGTTATTTATGGATAATTTGTTTGTGATTTGCTTCAATTTTCTTGAGTTTTCTAGATTGGTGTTGAACAATTTGTATAGTTAATTTGTGATTTGCTTGAATTTTCTAGAATGGTGTTTTATATATGGATAATTTGTATTGAGAGATTGATATTTGACTTTAATTTTGATAAGAACTTGTAATTGTAAATTTTTTACGACAAAACCCCTGGGTACCCATGAACCGGCGGATACCCAACGGGTTGGGTTGGGTTTGAGTTTTTCAAATCCAGTGGGTTTTACCCCGGGTTTTTTTCAAAGATAAACCCATGGGTTTGGGTTTGGCAAAACCCGACCCAACCCGACCCATTGCCATCCCTAGCTGGCTTATTGATCTGAGACGGTTTTCCAAGTTCTTTGTGAGTTGAGAGTGTCCCTTCAACAATGAAGCGGTTCTTTAAGCCGATAGAGAAGGATGGGTCTGCGAAGAAACCTGCATTGGAACAACAGGGCAATGGTGAGCAGCCGGATGGGGCAGCTGACTCGGGAGTTGGGCTGGCGAATCAGAACCAGCAGCCGTTGAAATTCGTAACGTGGAATGCCAATAGCTTCCTTCTTCGCGTAAAAAACAACTGGCCTGAGTTCTGCATATTCGTCTCCCGCATCGACCCTGATGTTATCGCCGTCCAGGTGCTTCTTCCTATTTGTCACAGTTCAATAGCTTTTTTGGGGGGAAAAGCCGAATTTGGACTAGGTTTTCACGCAGGACACCATTTGTTTTTCCTTTTCTTGTGCCTTGGGAAGCATTCGGAGCCTTCTGCATTAAGGGTTTCCCGTAGCAATGGTGAATTTTGTGCTAGGGGTTGTTTGAGTTGTCTTTAAACCAAGATTCCTTCCTTTTAAGACTTCGATAGCTATATGAATCAAATGATAACTTCTCCTTCTTGGAAAGGCAGAGCAAAACTGAATATGAAGTATTCACTTGAGAAAAACGATCGTACTTGGTGGACAAAATCATATCTGTGAACCAAAGTTGTGGTTATGCTGCCATTGCAATCTATTGTATATTTCTGAACTATATGTGGCTGTAGTAGACATGAGAACAACAATCTCTAACATTTTGCATTAATAATAGGAAGTAAGAATGCCTGCTGCTGGTTCAAAAGGTACACCCAAAAACCCAGGGGAGTTGAAAGATGATACAAGCTCATCACGGGAGGAAAAAAAGGTAAATTTTATTGCTCTTTCACCCTACGTGAGTTACCTTAGTCTGCTGCTTGGCGAGTTTCCGGTTGTAAACTCCCATGTCCAGTTAGGGCGCTTGCATTATATAATCCTGTCTACTAACCATAGTGTGGTTTTAGGAATTACTGGGTTCTGCAAACCACTTAAACAGTATAGATTCTCTTGTTCAAGTTGATCCAATCTTCTGAGTGTTCTTTCTTTCTACCCCTGTCCATGGGATTTGAACTTAAACCCTATGTATAGAAGTAGTATTATTATTATATTGTGAGGAACATGCAAGATCCTGGGACTCATGATGGGTTCCTTGAATAATAATGTCTTGACAGTCTTGTATAGTTTCATGCTCCAGGCTCTCTCATTCTTCTCCCCTTTCTGCAGATACTGATGCGTGCCCTTTCTAGTCCGCCATTTGGAAGTTATCGTGTTTGGTGGTCCCTCAGTGACTCAAAGTATGCTGGTACAGCCTTGTTGGTAAAGAAGTGTTGTCAGCCTGTAAAGGTCTCTTTTTCACTTGATAGAACAGGTATTCGTTTCCATTTTGTTCTATTAGACAATATCTATTCTTCCACTTGAATTTTTATTGTTTTGGAGATTACTAAACTTATCCCTCAGTAACCTGAACTCTGCTATTTCTGCTCCATCTACAAGTGACGAGCAGATGTAAATAGTAGAGCAGGTAAAACAGTAAGAGAACTGAAGGGTATATTTTAGAATGTCTAAGACAAAAGAATTTACCACATATGAGTGCTTGATGAGTAGTTGTGGAACATTATTTGGTAGAATCTGTATGGTCTCTGCTATTGTAATCCATGCCTGGGTATTCTTTTTCCGGAAAAAAATTACAGTTACTTTTCTTTTCCCATTTTTTGGATGAGTACACTAGTTACTTTTTTAGAGGAAGTTGATGTCCGCACCTTTAGTTCATTCCCATCCAATCCATTATATTAAGCATAGTAATTGGTCTCAATTTATGTTAGGTACAAAGCATGAACCAGATGGCCGAGTTATTCTAGCTGAATTTGAGACATTTCGCCTATTAAATACATATTCACCAAATAATGGATGGAAAGAGGAGGAAAACTCATTTCAGAGGAGAAGAAAATGGGATAAAAGGATGCAGGAGTTTGTTCTTAAATCATCAGACAAGCCTCTGATATGGTGTGGCGATCTGAATGTTAGGTTTGTATTTTCTTGTCATTAAATGTCTTCTTTCCCATTTTCTGTCTCCCCGCCTTCCTATCGAGCTGTCTCATTAGCCAAACCTACAAGGGGTAACGGGTAATCTGCTGATAATGTCTCATGATATAGAACTTGACCCAACTTTTGCTTAGCATACATAAATGTGTGATGCTCTGTGCTTTGCTCAGTAGCTGCTACCAAGTAGCTCACTTAATCTGGTGTCGTCTTTGACATATCATAGTGCCTCTAGGGAGATGTACTGAGTGCTAATTCAAAATATTTGTGACCAAATCCTTCGACACAAGCATCTTCAGATGAACTGGAGATGTAAAATCCTATCACGACATTCCTTTCTACTCCAAGGAAGTGCTGGCAAATAGTCGGATTTAGGTTACATGTTTCTTGTTTTCGGTACGGTATGACAATCATAAGGTGCTATCTTTCTGCAGCCATGAAGACATAGATGTGAGTCATCCAGAATTTTTCAGTGCAGCAAAGCTCAATGGTTACATACCTCCAAATAAAGAGGTTAGAGCTGTTGTTCCTCTTAACAATTTCCTGCAACATGCCTTCTCATAAAGCAAACTTGCTTCACCTATTAGCCGCATGCATGAGACATTTGTTATTTTCTTTGGACGGAGAAACAGAAACAGGTTAGGGATGGTCATGAAACGAACATGATACTACCCCAGACATTTGATTTGAGTAATATTGATATAATATTCTATTTCTTGGGCTATTCTTCTGACAGCTTTCCATATAAATCCTGACCCCATTGGTGCAAAGTAGAAGAGCAGTTCCGATATTCGAAGAGTTTAAAATTTGCTTAATCCAATATTCGAATGTTGCAGGATTGCGGCCAGCCTGGGTTTACTTTGAACGAGAGGAAGCGATTTGGTGCCATAATGAGAGAGTGCGTGATTCATTTACAGTTTTATTTAAATTAAAATTCAGGACTTCCAAAGTGGAAATTGAAACCTTGAACAAGCCTATCGTCCTCATTACCTTTGTGATTGACCTCCTAGTCTTATTCTACAGGGGAAAGCTGATTGACGCCTACAGATTTTTGCACAAGGAAAAGGATATGGAGGGTGGTTTCTCATGGTCTGGAAACCCAATCGGGAAGTAAGCTACTAGTATTATATCTATCAGCAACTTTAGAATCCTGCATAAGAAAATATCAGTTTACCTAATTCTTCTTCAGCGGTAATTTGACTTCTTGCATTGTCCCCCCTTTCTCGTGTTATTGACTTCAGCGGTAATTTGACTTCTTTCAGCGGTCATTTGACTTCTTGCATTTTTCCCCCTTTCTCAATTGGCATGAAAACCTCAATAGGATCGAATTGCAGCACCCTTTTAAGCATTATTAGTTGTGCAATCAGACAAAGATAATGCGTTTTACGAGTAGAAACACACAGAGTAAGCTACTTTCTTGTGTTGGGGGAATGCCTGGTTCATCTTCTGCCTAATAGGTGTTTTCGGTTTCAGGTATCGAGGCAAAAGGATGCGCATAGATTATTTCTTAGTCTCTGAGAAGCTGAAAGATCAGATTGTATCCTGTGAGCATTGGGGGCGTGGAATTGAACAGGAAGGTATCACTTACTTCCTCTTTAAAAAGAAAAAGTAAAGTTCAGATTTTGGGGGATTGCGTAATATCTCTGCAAATGCATGCTTCTGCTGATCACAAATGCTTCCCTGATCTTTGTCAATAATGTCCGACTGATCTTTGTTTGGAGTGTGAGGCTGATCATTTTCGGAATGTTCCGCTGATATTTGTTTTGTATCAGGTTTTTATGGAAGCGACCATTGTCCAGTTTCCCTTGAGCTTTCACCAGCCACGTTAGATGCCAACGGCAGTCACGTTCCAGCAGAATCTTAGTTGTTAATATGCTTTGTGATTTGCTGGATAGCCCCAGTTTAGTGTGAGAAACAATTATCAAGTTTTTATTTATTAGAAACCTGCCGTTTGAGTCTGCAAGATCTTGATCTCCTGTGTAAAGTTGATGAGTTGTGTTGGAGTTCCACATGCATAACCTTGGTAAATGTTAGCTTACAAGAGATCCTAGACAGCTGGACTTAATTTTTCTCTATTTAGTTAATATTTAGTTATTTAACATATAGTTTGGTATAAAATGAATTTCATAATTTTTGAGAAATTTATTTTAAAATTAATTCTATTTGTGTTTGATATTAAAAAAAATCATTTTCAATTTTGAATTTTACAGAATTAGAATTAGTTATAGCAGTTCAGAGTAATTAAGATGGAATTTGTATTTTACTTCTGTCCATATATTAATTGGCACCACTTTCTCATTCGTTCTGCTAATTGCTTTATGAGCATGCAAATTACCTAGTTTGTTGTATCTTTTAACATTCTTGAATTTGTTGCAAGGAATTGTCAAACTGAAAACAACTCCAAACTGAAACCTTGTTAATAGAGTATTTGTAGCTGTAATGCACCAAAAGTTATGTAAGTTTTGTTGGAAAAATATTGTAATTGTAGTGAATTCGCTGAATATACTAAAATGGGAGAGAAACGTTGGAATTTTGGTTCTCAAAATTGTGGATGTTGCTAAATTTGGTGGTGACAAATTTATAAGGGTCACATTCCCCTCTAACATTTTGAGAATTCCCAATAGAAGTAACGAATGGTTTGAATTAATTGTTTGGAGAACGGGATTTAAGGCGTGGATTCATTGAATTCGTAGATTTTGTAGAAAATTATGTTTTTTTGTTGCTTTTTGTATTGTGGATTTTAGCTTTAGAGATTTCAAATCTCTAAAATCTACGGATATCAAATATCTCATAATCAGAGATATTCTATATCTTGATTCGGAGATTTTTTTTCTCCTACTTTTTCTCTTTCTTTTATTTATTTATCATATTAAATATATTTATCAACAAAGTTTTTAATATTTCTCGAACCACTCTAATTTTTTATTAAGGATAAACATGTTATTTAATATAAAATTAATTTTTTTTATTTTCATTGAATGTTAACAAGCACATTTACCAAACAATAAACATTTTAAAATATGTTTTCAATGATCCAAAGAGTTAGAATCTTTAGATTGTTGACAATCTATAGATTGAAACTCATATTCTCCAAACGACCCCTTAAATATATCATGCACTGTTTTAGAGTGGTCGGGTTTGGATGACAATTAGCCACAATCAAATTTCCCTAACCAGTGAGTCCTTTGTCAACAAGGTTGTCAACTCGGTTTAGCCCGTTGGCCCGGTCAAGCAAGTGGGCTAAGGGTTAATGGTCTGACTGCTTTGGCCCGGATATATGGTAAAAGTCATTATAGTGTTCAAACATTTATAAATTATATAAAATCTCATATAAGATATGAGCAATTACATATAACTTTACACCAAAATAACATGTCATGCTTGGATCCAACATATAGGGAAAATTCACAACACTTATATAACATCATTGTTCAAATATTCAACTTAGAATTTCAAAGATTAGGTTAAGCGAAAAGAAAAACTGAAAAATAGGCGGATTTCACAAACCAAAAGAAAAATGATGATAGTTTTATCCTATGAAAAAATTTCAAGTAACCCAAAGTTTTGTAGAGGGTGGAAATATTATTTACTCAAAGTTAACGTAGTTCACGATTCTATCATAATCCTGACCACCCGGTCTTGAGCTATCGTACGTATACACTTATCCCAAAAGTCCCAACATTGGGGGGGGGGGGGGGGGGGGGGGATGTCAGATAGTGGGCGAAGGGCGGATGGCTGCCAATGAGGAGGCTCACCGGGGAGGGAGAGGGAGGCAGACTGTGGATTGTTAGGGTTGGGTATAATTATTTAGGATTTAAGAGAATATATATGAAAACTCATATTTTAAGGATAACAATTTGGTGTTATTATTATTATTATTATTATTATTTTCAAAATTAACCTTAATTATAATCGTCAGTTTAAAAAATATTGAGAATGAAAGGTGGAAATGTAGATAGCCATCATAGTTACTGAAAAAATAGTAACTATACTAACTCATTCTCAAATGCCCAAATTGTGGCATGAAGAAGACTTTGAAGCATTGTTGTTTAGTTAATTGTTGCTGGGTTGCCAAAGTGATTAGTATGGCCTCTGAAGAAGAGCTCATAAAGGAGTATACGGAAGTTCAAGGCACGGAACAGCAGAAAGAAAAAAATTATGTTCGAAGGACACTTGCTGGAAGAGGAAGAAGCCGCCATCTGGAATCTTTAAGATGAACACGGATGCTGACAAGAATAGCAGGGGAGAGATTGGCCTAGGGTGTGTAGCTCATGAAACTGCCCATTTAATTCCTTGTAACAATTGTGAAACTGAGTGCTCTGTATAACTATTTTGATCAATGGAATGAATGGGTATCGGGGAAAGAAGAACTGACAGTTCAACAGTTGCTATATTTCATGTTTCAGTCAGCCATATGACTTCATGATCATCATCTTTCATGAAGTTCAAGACCACCATAGATGGGGACTCCTCCTTTACTGAACAGAGCTGCCTCTAGGGCAAGGAAGATAATGGTTTTCGCCTTCTAAAAATCTGCCTTTTGCCAGAGGCCTTCGTCCTTAACAGCATCTACATTACAAGGGTATCAATTCCTATGAACCCAATTCAGATAGTCCTCACTCTGAAGGAGCAGGCTCATCCTTCTCCTTTCCCTCTTTCTCATCGGCCCCCATAGCGCCATTATTATATGCCTTCTGCAAAATTCTATGCTCTGATGGCAAACTCTTCTTGGCCTGTTTAGTCCCTTCAATTTTCCAATATTCCCATATTCGAGTCTTTGGCGGAGGGGAAGCATCAGCAATAGGAGCCACCAGCCCTGGCTTGCCATCATCAATTACACCATCTACTAACCCATAAGCTTTAGCTTCCCAAGCGTCCATGTAGTTATCTCGATCAGTGTCCGCTTCAATCTGCAGCATAAAAGGAGGTCATTTTTTTTTTTTTTTGCAAACAACTCACTGGATCTATTTGTAAAACTAGGAGCTCACTGAATGCAGTATATAGTTCACACCTGCTCCACTGCCTTCCCTGTGGCTCTTGACAATATCTTGTTGATTTTGATCCTATGATAATTCATTTCTCTAATCCTTATGCTCATCTCTGATGCCTGGAATCAGAGAAAACACTGCAATTGTCAGCAATAGCGTTTAGAAAATTGCGGGGTCTGCAAAAATGTGAGATACCAAATTTTGGTCTTAAATTCCAGTTTCAGAATGAGATTACCAACATTAAGCTAGGGACATACCTCTGCGTATATATGTCTACACGAAGTGAATATATTTAAAAGTGCGCATGGTTTTGGAGTAAGCACTTACTTTGCCTCCAGCAGTTCCATGTGGTTGATGTATCATGACTCTACCGTTCGGCATGCAAAACCTCTTGCCTTGGGTGCCACCAGCTAGAACTAATGCTCCCATAGATGCAGCGAGACCAATACATATCGTTGAAACATCAGCTTTGCAAACCTTCATTGCATCATAAATTCCCATTCCTTCATCAATAAGTAAAAACAAGTCAGAGAGCCATGGGTTTTGGAACTTCTGTAAAGTAGAAAAAGAGGGATAATGAGTTCACATGAAATCCTCTCAGTCAGTTCCCAAACTATACATGCACAGCTTAGTTCATGCCCCAACTTGCTGACCAATTAGCTAATGTCTACAAATTTTCAGTCTTTGTGAAAGACAAAGTGATGAAGTTAGATGTACACAGAGAACAAATATTTTCCTTTTTAGTAGACAACAAAGAACAAAATTTTAAATATATGCCTTGTCGATAAATGGAAAACCATGCATTTCTTATCCATTGACCCCAATTCTCTAAAACTCTTAACTCTATTCATGTCTGCAGAGATGCAGAATTCAAGGACATACCAGCAGTGACAGAACCACCAGGTGAGTTGATAAACATCCTGATGTCTTTTGTTGGATCTTCAGCATCAAGAAATAAGAGTTGGCTTATAATAAAATCAGCTGACATGTCATCAACCTGTCTGACACAACTGAGAATTAGTGTTCTTTTCCCGTTAACCTACCCTTAATTCTTAATAAATATTATCAAGTAGGATTAGTTTGCAAGCGTTATGGCATGGATTAACATGAGTGATTGAATTCACAGACAGCCCTTTCATCAATAAAATGTGATGACAATTTGAAACCACAAGCAACTGGGTTGTGAAAGGGAAACTTAGATTCGAACCAACAGCTACAACATAGATGCCAAAAGCTACAAGTGATGTGCCCTTCTGGAACATAGAAGACATGTATTCAGCTGGCATACTGATACTAATCAACAATTGTAATTAAATGAGAGAATTCTATGCATCCAATGAAGAGATGATATCAAGGCGAAGAATAGTTGTGAAAAACCATGGCCGTCCCTCCGATTAAACTCAGTGGTGTTGGATGGAGAACCATTGCATTCACATGGAACACTTAGTAGCCCTGGATGTACTTAATCCAAATAACTAGCAAGTGGAAACTCATATGGCACGCTCTAAGAGTTGAAATCACAAAGATAACCCAACCCACAAGACCAATTAGCTAGACGCCCACCAACTTCTAAGGCCACCACGCACCCGACCAATAGGAACGGCCAATATGACATTACCAGTCTGCTGATCTCTAAGCTAAAGAAACAAAGATTCAGTTCCTACATCGAATAATAACAAGACAGTACTCAAGATTCAAGAAAGCGCAAACCTCCATTCAATTCCTAGATATAAAAGAAGAAAAATTTGTCAGTCCCGCTCCAATGAAATCGAAGGAGGAGGTAAGAGCACAGACCTCAGAGCCCAGAAAAACGATTCTCTGACGGAGGAGCATATTGGTAGTATCAAGTTCCTCGAATCTCGGCATCCGGGGAGCCGTAGCGGCGCCAGAGGAGAAATCCACAGTATCCCAGTTGCTGCTCAGAGTCCGTCTATTCGTAATGCTTGACCTGGATGAGCTGTTCAGGGCCTTAACTGATACGGAGTTCCTTGAGCCGCAATTGTAACCCTTCGTAGAGCTCTTGCCGAATCTAGTGCTTGACGGGGAAGGAAACTGCTGGCGGACGAACGCATGATTGGAGAAGCAGAGAGGGGTTGCCGATTGCGAGGCTGCTACCGCTGCGAATGTCAAACCACTATCCATTTCAGCGCTCTCCAAAAACCCTATCTACTTCTGGTTCTAATTGAATGTGGTGTGTTGATCTTCCACGAAGCAATCAAATTGGTTTTTGGTTGAGAGACGGGAGAACTGGGAGGGACAGCCAGAGAGAGAGAGAGAGAGAGTCACCGGATAATTTTAATTTTGGATTATTGACCAAACACGCCCCTCGATTTTTCCTTGACTAACAATAAGTCTGTTAACTTTGAAATTTAAAGGGTTAATTGCATAGTTGGTCACTGACATTGCAAAAAGCATTCATGTTTGGTCACTCGAAATATTTAAATCCATTTTTGGTCACTAACTTTACAAAAACCGTTCATTTATGGTCACTCTCCGTTAGCTGCCGTCCAACGCCGTTAACGGCGTCCGTTAAGTGATGATGTGGCTGACGGATTTGCCTAATCATCACCTTTTAACCCGAAAATTGACTGACCCGACCCGCCACGTCATTTAAACCCTCCATGTCAGCCAAACCTAACCAAACCTCTAACCAAACCCATTTCCCGGCATCAAGCGAGCTCAGAACTCCGTTTCCAGACTTCGCAACTCTCTCGAACCTGATCTCCAGCTCTTTCATCAACTTCGCTGCACTTTGCCCTTTTTCCTCGTCGGATTCGACCTTCTCGTCGACACCATTGCCGTGTTTCAGACACGAATCCTTATTTTTCTTCTCTGCTCCGACATTCGTCTTCGCCTCTTCCTCCGCCTGATTCTTCTTTCCAGCAGTCGATTTTGCTTCCTTCCGAGTCGGATCCGGGCGATTCCGGCCCGATTTCACTTCCTTGACCTGATTCTTTCTCGCTCCTTTGTCTCCCTTCTCCTTCTCGACGAATTCGTACCGCTGGAACGGAGTCGCGTCGAAGAAATTCAAAAAGTCCCACGCCGAAGAAGACCTCGGCTGCGGCGGCGTTATCCACGACCTAGCAACCGACGCAAACTCTCCTCCTCCTGCGCTTCCTCCGCCGTCTCCGTACGAATCGTACTTCGGATACGCAACGAAGCCGTCGGAGTCAGAATCAGAACTGGAGCTGGAGAATTCGCGATTGGGAGAGGGAGCTTCGGAGGAGGAATTGTTGTTGCTGTTGCTCTTACATTCCCTGTCGCAGGTACAGCTCTCCGGCTGGGAATCGTAGGGAGGAGCGGCGGCGATTTGGGAGGCGTGGGCGCGGAGGAAGGAGAGGAGGGCGGGGGAGAAGGAGCGGAGGGAGTGGAGGTAGGCGGCGTGGGAGTCGGCTACATCCCCGACAACGCCTACAATCTCACGAATCTGTTCGACGACTCGCTCGAATCGGCCGGGAAGACCTACCAGAAGAACTTCAATCTCAACGTCACGGGCTAGCTTGACGACCGGACCCTCCGCCAGATCGTGCACCCCAGATGCGGCAACGCCGACATAGTCAACGGATCCATTTCTCAAGGCAAGTGTGTGGCGGACTCCATTCCTCCTTCGTCGTCGGCGAATTGGCGATCAGAGTTGGAGAGTAAGAAAAACGAAAGGGAGGAAGACGGCGCGGGATAGAGGCAGATGGATTTGTCTTCGATTAGGGTTTTAGTCAAAGGTGGGTAGATTAATTGGTGGGTCGGGTCAGTTCTTTATCTAGGAGTCGGGTCTGGTAGGGTTTGGTTAGGTTTGGCTGACATGGAGGGTTTAAATGATGTGGCGGGTCGGGTCAGTCAATTTTCGGGTTAAAAGGTGATGATTAGACGAATCCGTCAGCCACGTCATCACTTAACGGACGTCATTAACGGCGTTGGACGGCAGCTAACGGAGAGTGACCATAAATGAACGGTTTTTGTAAAGTTAGTGACCAAAAATGGATTTAAATATTTCGAGTGACCAAACATGAACGCTTTTTGTAATGTTAGTGACCAACCATGCAATTAACCCGAAATTTAAATGATTGGCCCTCCTACCAAATTTTTTTTTTCCGGCTCTTGTAACATCCCGAATTCTTATTATAGGTTCAACCCAAGAAAGTGTAGAATTGGTCAGTAAGTAAGTGGTCGAGGTAAGCATCTAGCTAAGATAACTTGCAGCGGCGGATCTAGGCGAGCCATGGCCTAGCCCTCCCTGGATCCAAAGGTCGTATAGTACTTGTAAATTTCCGATTTTGGGTGTATATTTCAATGTTTATAGGATTACGCTCCAACCCTCTTCACCACTTTTTAAATACGGCCCAGTGCTCTAACATATTCTGGATCCGCCGCTGATAACTTGTATCCTTAAGCACGCCATGACAAGGTTTAGTCAATCAGTTTTGATTTGTATTGGTTATGCATGAGTAGGGGATGATGTGTGGTAAGATAGCTACGTCAAATTCCTATGACAAACTCGTAGGAAATAGTTGGAAAAGTGGGGTAAATGGATGTTAAGTGGGTTCTGTAAATTGGGAGATTAAACTACAAGGACTAAGGAGTCATTTGCTTCAAGGATTTGAAAATGAGTTTTTTTTCTATAGTGTGGGATTTCAAAACCTAAGGTTTTATTTGGGATTTGGAAAAAACCTTTGTTTGTTCACTCATTTTGATCATGGATTTATTGGTTTGGGTTTTTGAATAAAAAAACTGCACTCACCTTATTGCCCTTCTTCAACATATCAAACGCCAGGGCTGCCGTTGTTATTGTTTCCCTTCTTCAACCCTTCTTTATCATTAGCAGCCACGAAGGAAGACCGAACCAACCACTTCGATCTGTAGAGGGCACAAGAAAGCAGGGGATTCTTCATTGTCCGCTCGCTGTTGTACTCCCCTGTTCGGCAGCAGGTACGTCGCCTCTCATCCATCATTCTCTTCCCATTTGGATTCTGGATTTATGATGTGGATGCTGATTTCTCCTTTTAAGACAGAAGAAAATCCAATTTCCAATTCCAGACAACTCATGGCTAGTAGAGGAAAGGAGATAATAGCTTCAGATGCATTCCATTATGATGAGGAAGTAGTGCTATGTGATTGCGGACTAAGAGCGGCTAGAAGAATTTCACGTACCTCTGGCAACCCGAATCACAGGTTTTTTGGCTGCCCACTGTTCAGCCGCTTAGAGAATAACAAGGCGTGTGATTACTTTGAGTGGTATGACATTAGAGTTGCAGTATTCAAAGCCACGGCTTCGCTATCTGGAAAGGTTTCAAGGTTAGAAGCTGGAAATAGACAGCTTCGCAGTTTGTTGGGGAGATTAATGAAAGATGGAGCTAGAACATAGGAACAGACTGACTTATTTATTGAGCTAGAACTGATCAAACAGAAGTTAGAACGTCTAGAGTTAGAGGGTACAAGTAGGAAGTGATTAGAAGTAGCACATGTTGTAGCTCATGTTGTTTCTAGCCGAGTTATGGAAGGAATCAGTTAACATGTATTGCCTCTTTTTGTGTTGAATGAAAACAACCTTTCCTTCAATATACAGACTGCTTTGTTCTTGTTGTTTCTAGCCGAGCTTAATGGCATAAGTGGACAGAACCTATGGTCTGCAGGAGACATAAGTTTCCAGGAACTTGAGGCATCCAAACAAACAAATCCATTCTCATAGGAAGCTGCTGCAACCCTTTTCAGCTTGGATACAAATGACCAACTGCTGTGCATTGAGCTTGATTGAGAAATAAATGACAGCAAGTACATCATCACATAAACAAGAGCATATTCATAAATTGCCTAACTTCTTCATCTATTCAGTTACAACCAGTTATACCAGAAACCATAATTCTAACCCTTGTAAACTAACACATGTTGGGATGAAAGCAGAACTTCTGCAAAATGATCATGTTTCCACAACCAAACACTTGCAATGGCTAAATACAGTATGATCTAACCTTGCACACACAAAAAAACAAAGTTTCACATACATCCCACATGTGTTCTGCAAAATAGACTACCAAGTAAATCCTACACCACCAAGCTCAACGGAGCAAGTTCTTGATGAAGTAGCACCGGTCTTCATCGCTCTCAAGGGCATAGAAAAGTCGAGTCTTTGGATCGTTGTCCACTAAAGCCATAGAAGCATCAAGTACCGTTCATGAGTGATCCGTTAACTTTTCCGATCTCCTTGATCAAAGCAGCCTGTTTGCTGTTGTCACCATCGCGATCACCTATAATCGAGCCAAGTGCTTCCACGGCCTTGAAGATCATTGGCTTAAGCTCACCAAGTTGGGATGATACATTGGTGATAGCTTCATACATTGGTGAGATCATTAGGCACTCTGGTCAATCTAGCCATGTCCTCTATACATAACAAAAAAATGAAAAAATTAGCTAAGAACAATATTTAACTTCTCAATCAAGACAACACCATCCAAGTAGAAAATGGTAGCAGTAGAGTGCTAGAAATTAACCAAAGGCATCAACTATCTTCATCTATTGAACCTCATGATACATAGGAAACCAGAAATGGATCATGATATTTTATTAGGGTTCATCGAAGAAGATGGATTTTCTAAGCACGACACCACCATATTAATCAGTTGGAGTTTGGAAGAGCGGGAAGGTCGTGCTTACCTGATACCAGATTTGCCGTTCGAGGTTGACGCCCAGATGAACTCCAATGGAAGAAGTTGGTCTTCGCTGGATTCTGCACTTTTCCGGACCGCCAAAACAAGAGTCTTCTTCCGCAGCTTCTCTGTTTGAGGGGAATAGAAGAAGAATGTGGGGAATAGAACGACAGATAGGGTTAAGGGATAGAGAGGGTAGTTTCGGTTTAATGAAAAATAATGAGGATATGAGTGTCATTTTTGCTCTTGGGTTTTCAGCAGCTTGCCAAATCCCTAATAAGCATGTGGGATTTATAAATCTGTGGGGCCCACGGATTTGGGGTAAAAAAACCAAATCCGTGGGCCCCACGGATTTGTTTCAACATATTTTGATGAAGCAAACAATGGATTGTACCTAAATCCTTGCAAGTTGGTTTTTTTGTACCAAATCCTTGAAGCAAACGACCCCTAAAACCCACTAACAGTACACGATTTGGAATTCTTTTGGAGGGGACACGAGTCAGT